ATATTAAATATTGAAGAAACTAGCAATACTTGCCCTGGAAAGGAGAAGAGCTAAGCCAGGGCAATGAGAGTTATCTTCAGAGAGGGTTGTCACGTGGAAATTGACTCTGGGTTACCCTGGAGGACGTGGCCAGAACCAATGGCAAGCAAGAGAATGGCAAATGTAAGCTCAGCCTGAGGACAACTTGCTCATTAGTGCATCTAAAAACAGCCTGGCTGCCTTGAGATACAGCGAGTCCACTGTCGTGGGAGGCACTGAAGCACGAGCCGGTGACCGCACGGCAAGGATTTTGCAGGGGAACGGAAGCATGGGCTACGGAGAACAAGCTGGCTTAGATGATGTCTGACATCTCTTCCATGTCTGTGACTTTCCAACTGTATGGAGCCCGTTCTCATAGTCCCCAGGGCTGTAGGAGCACAGGATGGATGAGCAGAGAACAACACATGAGCAGTTGCTGGAAGGGAAGCTGAAGTGGGGCAAACTCCAGAAAGCTTAGAAAGAGCCATCCTCACAAGTATACACTGAAAATCAGTGAAAGCTAGATTGTCTCGCTCTGGGTTCCTTGGAAAAGAAACCTGAGGGGTATACAGATGCAGAATGAGGTTGTTTTTAAAGAAATAGTCATTAAGACCTGTGATGTTAATGGATGTAATGCTAAGTAGAGAAAAACTCTGTAAACAGCTTATATTATTATAAATCCAACTATACCTCTTACTCATCTCTGTAACAAGAGAGCCACCCAGTCAAACAGGAATCTCCTGTGAGCCTATACTGGGTTATCGAGGGTGCTGTGTATATGGTTACCTGCTCTGAGCAGCTAATCCTCCATGCCCAACAGTCAGTTTAGAGTTTTCCTCTTGCAAGTATTTCTATCGAATAAAACCCTGGGGCATTGGGGGTTGGCATTGGAGTGGTGAATGTGGTGACCCTTAACTTGAAACTTCATAAAGCTAACACAACAAACACAATCAACGAACCCACATAAATTGCATAGTTTACCAAACATTTTAATTAAGCAAATGCATATATATATATATATCAAATGCTATAATCCATTTGGTTTAACTCCAATCCTCCTTTCCAGATGAATAGGTGAAGCCTTTGGGTGGGTGAGAAATGTACACCTTGAGTACAGGTGCTGCGTGCTCTCTTGCTCTGCCTTTATTTGTGGCTGACTTTCTCTCTCTCAGTAACCTCATGGACTCATGTAATGCCAGGATGGTAGAAAGACCCCTCTCCTCCAATAATTGGCTCTGCAAAATGCCTCTCCTGGCTCCTTGTGCAGTAGCATCTTTGATTTTCATCGTTCTGTTCTGCGAAGTTTCTGGTCCATGTTGCATCCTGACAATATGAGCAGTTTTTCAGTCATAGTAAATTTTATAGGGGAAGGAGCCATTTCCAGGCTGCACGTGGTGGAACTCCCAGACTCCTTCTAACCACTAGAGATGAAATTTTATTATTTTCACATGGGCTACCTATACACGAGGCTGCTGGACTATGGTTCCCTCCTATGGCCTCTGCTTACTCCCATCATGTAAATATTATTGGCAGTTTTTAGTCAGATTTCAAATGCTTAGAGAAAAGCAGCCATTAAACCTGACAACCAAGAACAAGCTTTTCCACGAGAAATGATACTCAGTTTTAACCCTCTGGCTTTCTCTAAATGTTAGGATTTTCCTATCTTTTACCATAGAAGTAATTGGCTCTGCCTCTGAAACTCTGTGTGTTAGCCACATCTCTTTCATGGCACCTGCTTTTGACTGTCCCTGAAGCAGGACAAGGGCCCTGAGGGCAGGAGCATGTTCCCAAGGCTCTTCTTGAAGTGCCTGGCCCAGAGCAGGTGTACGCCAGCTGCGGGGACAGATGGCTGCCAACAAGCTGAGGTGCACAGTGGAGAATGTGGGCATCATCAGAATCCCTTTCCTCTAACCCGAAAGGAGAGAGGGAGTTTAATGCGTGCATCTTTCTTGGAAGAGAAAGGAGTATACGGCGCAGCAATCGGGCGGTGCAATTTGTGACCACTGTGCCCAGAGTTTGTCTAGAGCAGTGATGGCGAACCTATGACACGCGTGTCAGAGGTGACACGCGAACTCATTTTTTGGGTTGGTTTTTCTTTGTTAAATGGCATTTAAATATATAAAATAAATATCAAAAATATAAATCTTTGTTTTACTATGGTTGCAAATATCAAAAAATTTCTCTATGTGACACGGCACCAGAGTTGAGTTAGGGTTTTTCAAAATGCTGACACACCGAGCTCAAAAGGTTCGCCATCACTGCTCTAGAGCAACACTGAGGATGCTTAGGGAGAGAGGAGAGGAAACTTCAAGTGAGAGGACCTAGCTCTCGCCTTGCCTACTACTTGAGCCAGCCAGTTGTTAAACAGTCCTTTCATCCAAATGCAACACCCAAGTGATGCGAGAGAGAAGCTGCCCCACCTCCAACCTGTAGCATGTTCTTCCTCCGTTTATTTAAATGACGGTCTGCTGCGCCCCTCTCCCTGGCACATGTTTGTGTCTGTATGAAATGAACAAGTTGCTGCCATTCTCTCCTTCATTCAGTCTCTCTGTGTCTCCCCCTCGCCCACCTTCTCACCCTCACTCCACATTCACACCAGCTTCATCTCCGTGGAAAGAAAGACTGATGCTAAGGCCTGTTTCTCGACACTGAATCCAGCTGTTCCTGGGAGTAGGAGCCAGGACAAACACATTAGCCCATTTTCCACCTTCGACTTCAAAAGCTAGGAAAGAACGTGCATCAGATAGAGTCTTGCTGAGAGCAATTTATAAGGTGGCTGGTGAGAGCCACAGATCCAGCCTTGCAGGGAATTTATTTCCACGTAAATCGATACCAGGGTTATTTATTGGAGTGCTCTTCCTGCCAACAAGTTAATAAAAGTCAGCATTTGAAAATCCAGTGAGAAATTTGTGCTCGCAATGTGAATTAAATAGCTCTTGAAGGCTGCTCCTTGCCATTTTGGATTTTGCCTGGCAAGCTGATTCGATGTGTAAGTCTTGGATTTTCTCAGCTTTGATGAGGTGGTCAGGTCACATTCCTGGTCCAGAGTGAGCGCAGCACAGTGTGATGGCCTAGAGACAAACCTGCTGCCCAGAGCCTTCGAAACATCGGAGTTTCCCTGAAGATAAGCAAATTTGGACTCAGCCATTGACGTTTTGATTTGAATGTTTGCCACTTCTTATCTCTTAATAATTTTTGCTTCAGAAAGCTCACAAAGATAACCTCATTGAGATAAGTGAGGCTCACAGTATTAAGAAAGAGACAGTGATTACAAAATACTCTTCCAAGAATTGAATTTAGTTCTTCAGGTCAGCTTGCTCATTGTTGTTTCCTGGGCTGGTTATTTTTGTTCTGTTCCGGCACAGGCTTTAGATGTGATGAAAAACACCAGGGGAGTGGAAATAGGTGAAGGAACAGAGAAAGGGCAAGTACCGGGTAGACCTGCAGAAGTGAAAGTGAGCGAAGGACTTGAACTTTCCTTTTGAGTCCTTTTTGATAGGATTTGCTAAATTTATGTGAAATGAATCTATTTGACTGGCCCACCGTCTACCATGATGTTTACAATAGACACCCTTATGGTGTTTCATCAGTTGTTCTTAAAAGTTCATCTAAGGTACAGCCACCCAATTGACCCCTAGGTTTTCAGAAAGCCCTGAGGAGAGATGTTTATTAATATAAGGATGCAGAGTTGGGAAGGTTTGGGCTGATCCGTGCTGGACCACAGTGGGGATCTGATGTCATTGGTGGGTTCTTACTGCTTAAGGTTTCACAAACAATGTCCTAGTTCCTGCGAGTGGGAGTGAGTTATGTTCTGTGGGAAGGACGATGCAGAGAAGAGTCAGGAAGCAAATAGCTGGGTTCCCACTTTCTGAGCTCATTTGAATTCCTATCTTAATGGAATTCAAATTCAGAAATGAAGCAAGACTTTCTGTGGCTCTTTTCGTGGCCTGACTTTCTCGTGGTCTGATGGCCATGCCTGCGATGGAAGAAGGCAAGCAGGCCAATGTCAGGTCTGCTGTGGTTGTGAGTGGTTGGGGGGTGGGACGAAGTTGGGAACCCCTAGAACGTACTCCTCTCTTCTCTACCTTCCTTGTCTCCAAATCTAGTATTTTGAGGGGGACTTTTCTAATCAAATCTAGCCCTGCCTCAGGCACTGTTAGCTTTTACTAGAGTGATGGGTAAGCTCAAGGGGCTACTTCACCAGGCCGTCGGGAGGCCCTGTTCATGTATGTTTCACGGGAGGCCCTGTTCATGTATGTTTCACAGGCCCAAGGTCTCGTCTCACTGCCCTGCAGACCTGGAGCCTCAGCAACCAGTTCTCATGCTCTCAGGCACACATGAAACTCCTCGGTGGCAGAAAGCCAGCCTGTGCATTTATGGTGTGGAATGGACCTTAACCAACAAGGAATGTATTTGCTATTTGGAACACTCTGTCCAAGTATCAGCATACATGGCAGAGAGGACTAGTCGCCAGAATTAATGTAGTCAGATGAAAAGCAAAGGTTGAGGCAAAGGCCTTTGATCGGGCTGTGTTAGGGCCACTGGGTCACCCCTGTAGTTCTGAAGTGCTCATCGTTTCCAGTACCCAGATGTTTGAAACCGTCAGACGCAGAATTTGTCTTCCTGCAATGGTAACATTCCTGCCGATAACTCTACTGCTTTTTCTTCACTGCTGACCCTTGGTTTTAGACCTTCAGCCTGGAGTTTGACAGGGCTGCTACTTTACACTGTACACCCTATTCTATCTGGGAAGTTTCTCAAACAACATCTCAGGCTGTGTACCGTAGAGCCATTCATTGGATAAGGGGTAAAGGAAATGACTCTTGTGTTCTTGTCAAATTACAAAGTGGGCACTGCCATGAAAAATACTAGAAACCACTTTTTTCCATAGAAAAGGTAAAACTCACACATTTTGGTAACCCTGGTGCCTGTATGCTTGGGAAGGAAGCTCTGAGTGCTAACGCCTGTGTCTTATCACCCAGGCCAGCGAAAGACGCATCCACCTCGTCGTGTCCCGCCAGGCCCGTCAGCAGAGTCCTGACATCTTTCAGGAAGCCGGCTGGAGCAGCAACGGCAGCCAGTCCTCGGGGCCAGGGGCCAGGAGCCACAACCCCAAGGTGAGGCCCAGTAGGGTATGTCCACCGCTTCTGCGGTGAGTTATTTCTCGGGAAGGCTGCACACATTAACATTTCTAAGTGTCATCTCTGGATTTCATCACTTAAACACTGTGTGACTTATCTTGTAACAGTAAAAGCCCAGAGTCCCATCTTCAAGGCCTGGTGGGATAGCAGGTGTCTCCCATCGAAGCAGAAGAGAGGAAGATGCAGGAGAGTTTTGAAACCTGATCTTGCAGACCTCATAATTTCTGGTCTAAGCCAAATAGATGTCATGTCATTTCAACTCATTTTGTTTCAGGACTGTTTTTCATTCACTTTGAAATGAAGCAAGAGGTTTGCTTGGCTTCTGGATTTTGAAGTTCCCAGTCTGCCTGAAACGGAGCAACTCCCCTGCTATTTTAGGGTGTTCGTTTTTGCAGAAGGACCCAGAGAAATAATATAAACACTTGAAGTTCGTGTAACACTAGCAAGTGGTGGGGATTGGGCAAACCAAAGAGCACATGCCCTATCTTATGGAATTCAAATCCAGAAACATTTTTAAAAAACGGGGGATGAAGCAGCATGTATCTGCAATGTGCAGCCCCTCTTTAAATGAGGTGACTCAGCCCAGTTTCTACTTCTGTCTGTGGCCAATGTTAGAGGCAGCACCATAACTTCTCCGTTTGGTTGGGTGTCTAAGCAACACACACCTTGCTTAGACCAAGTTGAGTCCAATAGCCTCCACTTGGCATCCTGTTGTGATGGTGATGAGTTTCTGGCCGCCATTTCTTCTGGGATCTGGTTTCATTAAATTACTTGTAACTAAAAAATCTGATAGAGAGCCCGTTCTTCCTGCATCAGATTAGGGAATGTCTACATACCACATCAGGCTAGATTTCTGTTTGGAATAATTCACAAGTTTGAAATTTTGAGCAATGTATGTAGAAACTATACTCAAAATTTTGATTTTGGAACATCTCTGCTTTGTATGCTGTTAATTACACAGCCTACAAGGATACTCCCTCTCCCCTTTCTCCAGCCTACCAGCCAGCTATGCCCCATAAATCCATAAATTCCAGGTTTATTTACAATAAGCAATCTCAACAGACCAAGTACCTCCTTGCTAAAACATTTTATGGATAAGCACTCCCTGGTGTCTTTTCACTAGTAAATACCATTAGTGTGTTTAAGTAAATTTAATGCTATTAATAGAAAACTAGTTTATTCTCTTAATTAAATTTTAACCTAATTAGCTAATTATAATTGAGTTAGCAAGACCATATTATATTCTAGCTCACTAAACCACTAAGAATGAAGCTTCCACCAGCCCTCTGGTTTTATAACCCCTTCTACCTAACCATAATGAATCATGGAAAGAGCCAGGAGGGTCTGATCAAATTTTTGCTGAAACCCTCCCTCTCTCATGTTTAATTCCTGGAAAACATGCATAACAAACCGGCCCAGTAGAAATTGTAATTATTTTCATTTTAATTTATAGTTCTCTCTGCCTTCTGAAATGCTGCCACACACACATTAAAAGTGGCATATTTAAAAATGAAGACATAGATGTATTTTGTTTAGGAAACAACATGGCTTTTTGAAAGCAGGAAGTGAAATTACTCAAAGAAATACCAAAGAAGACAAACCAAGATTTGTGAGACAGAAAAGTTTTTAGTGAATTCAAAAGTTAAAGAACAATAGGCATCAAGATTAGGAGTGTGGCTACCTCTGAGAGAGGAAAGGGAATGTGACCAGAGAGAAGTCAGAGAGGCACCTCAGCTGTAGATGGGACATGCATGTCTGACACTGGGTTGCAAGGTATCTGGGTAGGTTATGTTCATCTTTATGCGTTTTTTTAATATGTCTAAAATGCTTTTTAAAAACCCAAAGCAAATATTCTATTATGTAATTTTATAGTTGAGTGATAGTACACTGGTGGCCCTGACATGTTTTAATCAGCTTAAACTATTTTATCATGAATCATGTGTTAAACATTAGGGAGCACCTTCAAGTCTCCAAAGTAGGGAAGGGGTGTGGGGAAGAAAACGGGGGAGGGGGGGGAGATCTCTGTTGTATTTAACTCTCCTCTCCCCAACCAAAGTTAGGCAAGTCCATGTACGGAGGGGTCAGGGAGCACTTGGGCTTTTCCATTCCTAACACAGGTGTGTCTCTCCTGTGGGTAAGGCAAGTATGTGGGAGACACAGGACACATGGACACATTTCTTATCTGGGGTAGTCCAGTCATGTTTGTTTGCAGAAAGGCCGTTTGGGAAGCACCGAGGAAGTGAAAGGAGGTTCTGATCTCCAGGAATTTGCATGTAAAAACATCAATGAACACACCTCTGCAGCCGGGAGGATGTAGCTTTCCGCAACCAAAACATGTGTCATGTGATTTATTTGACACAATTTGATTTGGGTTGAGTTCTGTAGTCAATGAACTAGTTAAACTTCCTCTGGAAAAAATGGGTGATTAGTTCTTTCATGTGTTTTTCTGACAGATGCCTGAACATTGGTAAGTTAATTTAGATCATGCGTTTCAGTATTACCTCTAAAAGCAAAACGGGATAGTGAGGAGCATGGATTTAGAATCAGACAGCCTGGATTGCAGGTCCCAATTTTCCTCCTGACACCTGTTTCACTTACCTGGTTTTTTAAAATGTTAAGTCTTGGTTTGCCTGCCTGGACCTGCCTAAGTAGGAAACAAATATATATTTCCTTCCTTTTCCCAAAGGTGTAGCTGGCCAATCTATACATTATTCCAGCAATATTTATTCACAACAAATATTAAAGCCTCACGAATTTCTATTAACTGGAGTGGCAGGAGAGAAGCCAATGTAACTTCTGGGATATATTTCATAAGATATGGAATTTTGCTTTCAAATGAATTTTATAACACCTTTTTTTAAAAAAACCGAAAAGTCCTATTTTCCACTTGGTTATATTACTTTTAGCCACAGGTTTGCTGTACATGGGCATTCTTACCCATTTCATAGATGAAGCTAGAAGGAGCTTGAGTGATCACATTATCACAAATCTCCTAAGCTAATTACTGTTAGAAACCCAAATATCAATAAAAGATGTTCAAACTTACTACAAAGAAAGGTAATTAAGTTATTGGAATCTTTGTTTTCACCTGGGAAAATATTGGTAAATATGGATAAAACACTATCGGCAGAATTGTGAGAAATCAGTATTTTCACAATGTCTTGGTGAGATAATAAATGACAGAAACCATTTCAAAGGTAATTTATCAACGTCTATTGAAATGTAAAATGCCCAGGCTCTGATTTCTCCATTGTAATACTAGGACATTAGCCTTAAGAAATAGTTACACAAGTGCACAAGATATGTAAGTCTAAGATGTTTGCAGTGTCCCTGTTTAATTCTGCATAAGACAGCAAACAACCTGTCATCAGTGGGGAATAGAACACATCCACACGAAGTATTAGGCAGCTGTTCAAGAATGAGATAGTGTGTGAGATATGTGTGTGAGTTATCCTTGTTTTTCAGAATATTCCAGACTGTGTTTTAGACAGCACCTCAGGAGATTGATCAACTACCCTTACGATGCCCCTGTCCCACATGTGGAAATAATGAAATGAAGCCCTTCTTTGAGAGCATCAGGAGTAAATGCTTTACGAATGTCCCCAGGAATGAGCTGAAGCATCAGGGCAGCCAGTGGGAGTCTCTGGGTTTAGAATTCTTGCCACGTTGGGGGCATTTCAGAACTGCCTGCATCTCCAAGTGGGGCTCTTTTGAGAGATGCTCGTGATTAAAGGAAGAGACATCCTGCATCTAATTGCTTTTCAGAAAGGAAAGGTCATGTGCTGAGAATGGATCTTGAGAGCCCCTCTAAGTCTACTCCTTGGCCTTAGCCGGAGTGCTAGGACTATTACTAGTCTTATTTTGAAACTTTTCTCTGAAGAAAGTCTTATTTCAGTTTTATAACCCTCATCTGATAACCATTATCTTCAAGGTTCTGGGGTTTATATAAACACAATCCAGACCTTACAAGTACTAATTATAATATATACCTTGCCATAATTATTCATAATTTCTGACTTATTATTCTATTACTACCAAAAACAATTTGTGGCAATGTGCAATGTATTCATCCATTTATTCAGCAAACATGTATTTAAAACCATCTTCAATGTGCCAAATGCTATGTTCAATGCTAAGGGTACAGTAATAGGCCATTAGTGCATACAATGAGGCCATTAAAAGAGACATGGCTAACTTAAAACCGCAGGAAATCATAGATAATAAATGCACACAAAAACCTAGGCTTATCTTGCTTCCTAATGAGGCATTTAAAATTGACCCTGTGCTTGCAGGTAAAATAGTTCTATATGATGTCATCCATCCAGTTTGTAGACATTTGTTTAATTAGAATTCATTTGATTTGTTGAATAGATAATATATATCCTATATAATAAAAGGCTAATATGCAAATTGACCAAACGGTGGACCAGTCACTATGATGTGCCCTGACCACTAGGGGACAGACGCTCAATGCAGGAGCTGCCCCCTGGTGGTCAGTGTGCTCCCACAGGGGGAGCGTCGCTCAGCCAGAAGCCCTGAGCCGGGCTCACAACTGGTGAGCACAGCAGTGGTGGCAGGAGCCTCTCCCGCCTGTGTGGCAGTCGGACATCCCCCAAGGGCTCCCGGACAGGGAGAGGGCACAGGCTGGGCTGAGGATTCCTCCCCCCCAAGTGCCCAAAATTCGGGCTTCTAGTGTGTGTGTGTGTGTGTGTGTGTGTGTGTGTGTGTGTGTGTGTGTATATAGAGAGGGGGGGAGGGGGTGGGAGGGTTCAAATGGAAAGGATATGTTAAGAAGGCCCTGTTCTACCTACCCCCAGGAAACCAATTTTTCTCCCAGTTTCTTTATAGAAATGCAAATAGTAATACAAATCATTTTTCTTTTTTTTAAAAGAGCTAGTACACTTATACTTACTTTGTACCTTGATTTTTTTTTTTTAGTTAGATGTGCTTTTAAATGTTCTTTCCGTAGGTACAACTATAGCTATGCTTTGAGCCAGATACTTCTTTGAGGTTTGACCAAGTGTTATATTTATTTGCAGTGCACATGTCCACAGTCTTAGTCCCCTAGAATTCAGCAGTCGCCAACCTTTCAGACGTCATGGACCACCAGTGATCCGCGGACCACCGGTTGGCGACTGCTGCCTAGATCACTGCACCAGCAGGGAGGAGAATACATTTTTGGAAAAGTATACATTGATATGTATTCATTGATAAGCAGTGCCCTTGACCTTCTCTACATTATTGCTTCAAGATAATGCTGCATATAGCTTTGCATGGTTTTCGTCTAGTGCTATTAAATCAAAATAAGTTCTTTTAATTTGCTTTTCAAAAGTTGACCCACAGTGTATACTATACAACTGCATATACTATATTTTTATATTATATATATTTTATGTAACAAAATGAAAAAATACAACTGACTGCATATTATTTAGAAATACTAAAGCGTAAAGATGCTAATTGGGAGAAACCTAGGTATTGGTGAATTTTTAAGAGTCATATATATGAAATCCATTATATTGAGAATTTCTATAATTGATTACCTGCATAAAGTTAACTGGCACTATTATTTAAAATTTGGTTACTTTTGTAACTGAGGAAAAAATCCTGATATTCATGAATGAGATGGGTGTTATTTCCAAAATGTTGACTCAGCTATCAGGAATGAATCACTTGAAAAATCTGGGGTACAGTTCCTTCCATTTTTGCTGAACTGTAAACTTCCTCTGAGTCAGCCTATAGAATTTGGGATAATATAACTCTGCCCTAGAGGGTGGGGGGATGGCAAAGCGAGGGTTCTCTCTATGTGTGTCTTTCTCTGTGAGACCAAACACCACTATCATATATTTGTGCCATTTTGTATGTAGGAAATGCAAACCCATGTTTGTTTTTCTGTCTGTGCCTTTAGCACCTCCCTCTTGCAGTCACTTGTCATGAGAAGGTGGTTAGTGTCCGAAAAGACCCCAGCGAGTCCCTCGGGATGACTGTTTCAGGGGGAGCATCACACAATGAGTGGGATTTGCCTATCTACGTCATCAGTGTTGAACCCGGAGGAGTCATAAGCAGAGATGGAAGAATAAAAACAGGTAAAAAGAAAAGAAATTTAAGGTTCTGGGGCAGCAGTGTTAAGAGGAATTAGCAGCTTGCTAGGTGAGGTAACTGTTTCCAGATTTAACAAGCAAATGTGAGGGTGATCTGGCCAGGACATCTGTTACCCATTGACCATGAATAGTTTGAGTGTAGTTGCCAGACTGGGTTTCAACCCTCCTTAGTTCAAGTGGATTGATGTGGGCGCCACCTTGCTTGCTAGTAAAGCAAGTACTGAAAACTATGCCAAGAATTAATAGGAAAATGCTAGTTACGAGCAAGTTGCCTTGGTTAAATGGCATAATTTTGTTCCATTTATTCTAAGTGATTCTTTGCTGGATTTATCCAGTGATAAAACTATTCATGAATTATTCAATTTTATGAGCTGTATAGGGGAAATAATTGGATAGACTTTGACTGAATATTAAGTGAAAGTACCATGCCATAGGTACTTTTCCACTGGTGAAAAGTGTTTTGTTACTTCAATCTTGTGTGTCCAGGACTTCTGAAATGAAGATGTCAAATGTGTATCCTTAATAATATCGTCAGTTCACATGAAGGGGTAACTCAGATGGTTGGGCAATTATGTTATTTAAGGATTAAGAGTCAAGAGATAAAATGTAAAGTTTCTGAAGTACAGTTGCTCAGTCTGTGGAGCCAGGGGGATGGCATGTTAAGGGATTCAGTCAGCCAACCTAACGATGTTCCTTTGGGATCAGGAAGGACTCAGGGCCTTTCCCATCTTTCCCCTATTTTTTACTCTTGCTGTGGTTATTCTATATAAAAAAGCTATTCAAAGGAGGCAGAAAATCAGGAGATAAAAGAACAGAAAATGGAGGCAGGGGAAATATGTATTTTAGTTTCTCTTGCTTTTCTTTCTCATCCAAGCACCTGGGTGCAGAATAATGAGGTCAACCAGGAAGTGACTTGAGAGAGAACATGAGCAGATTATAGGATATGTATGGAAATGGTCCAGCACATAGTAGGTGCTTATCCAATGCTAGTTCTTAGCACCTGTACAATAGAAATGTTAACTCTTCTTTCCACCTCTTTGAGAACACAGTTCCAGGGCCCATTTTTCTTAACTGCTGTTGACTCCATGCCAGATACTCTCGGGGGTAGTTCCTTATTTATTCATTCAAATCATGTGTATTAGGTACCTATCATACGCTAGGCTCTGTGCAGGTGCTGAAAGCTTCTGCCAAGTGCTCTCCCTTTGTGCTAAAAACATAAAACAAAAAAGGAGTGAAAATATAGATTTTCTTTGATTAAATGGTAAATGAGACTATTCCTCCTGCCTCCCTTTTTTTGTTTTTTTAATGACAAGAGCCAAACACCAATGGGTATGCTTTAGAAACCTCTAAACACGACTTACCAGTGCCTTGGAGAATGCACACAATTCACCATTTGCTATATGAGAATCCAGCCTCACGTCAATGCAAGAGGCTGACATGCGCCCCACCCCCACTACTCACCGCATCCGTCAGTCAGTCCCTGCCCCTTTGCACTATAAGCAGAAGGTCCTATTGCACTAAGGATGGCTTCTGCTTCTCTGACCACTAGGTGACATTTTGTTGAATGTGAATGGGGTTGAACTAACAGAGGTCAGCCGGAACAAGGCCGTGGCATTATTGAAAAGCACATCCTCCTCAATGGTTCTTAAAGCTTTGGAAGTCAAACAATGTGAGTCCCAGGAAGAAGGCAACAGCCCAGCAGCCCTGGACTCCAACCACAACATGGCCCCGCCCAGTGACTGGTCCCCCTCCTGGGTCATGTGGCTGGAATTACCACGGTGAGTCCCAATGTGACATCCTTGGGGAGGTGTGGGAGGAAACAAGTATATATATAAGAATGGTAAAATTATATGTATAATTTTACCATTCTTTCACTTTCTTGGGCTGACTCACGGCACTAGCATCTTAATGAACCCCTGGCTTGGTTGTGGGGCTATTTGAAATAATTGTAACTGGAAATGCAGGCAGAAACCATAGGGCAGGGACAGAAGCCTGGATGTGGAAACATTATTAGGCATTCATCATGAGGCACTCACAGGTCTGCCACGAAGAGAAGAGTCGTTTCCGTTTTCTTGCAACACGGAGCTCAGCTGATAGGGAGAGGATGCTGAAATCCAGGGTGTTCACTCAAGTAGGGGCAGGTTCATCTTTCCCGAATTTGCTAGCGTACAGCACTAGGATCTTGCATGGAGAGTGACTCCCATCCATGGTTTTACCTCTAGCTCGGGTGCCCCCTGGCTAAACCTAAAACAACGCAGAACACTTGGCCTTCACCTATGCTTATGCGTGTGTTGAGAACGCATCTCTCATCTTCTCTCCCTCGTACCTACTCTTGTGAGTTCTTGCACATAACTTCAGGAAGCAGCTGGCTTGTCACTTTAATAAGCTGTAACTAGAATCTTACAGTATAGCTGTTTGTCTCATAGACACTTCAGGAAAGGATTTGGGGGTAGCCTTGCTAAGTGACTGTAAACAAATTAAATATTCAGAGGGCAGATAAATTGGGTTTTGTTCATCTGCATCACAAACATTAACTCTGGGCCTTCAGAAGATTCTTACTAATTCCAAATGCATGATTTAAATGTTAAATATTGGAGTCACTGAAGATGATATGCTGGCTAGAATTAAATGAATGAAAGCAGGATGTTTGGTTTTAGTACATTTTTCTTGAGGGTGGAGATAGGTCTTTTTTTTTTTTAATTTTAAAATGAGGTTTATAAAACATCCCTGACTCAAATACAAACTGTCCTAGATTCCTTTCTGAGCCTTCAGTAATTGATAAATTTAAATGAGTACATTTTTAAACAGCTGAAAACTGAGCATTGAGGCAGTTTAAAAACTTTAAACATTTAGAACTGAGCCTAGGTGGAAGAGGTTATTACTTCTATTGTTTAAAAAAAATCTTTTTGAAACTGCATTCTAATATAGATCACTTTTTGTGCTTCAAAGCTATTCTGTTAAGTAATCAAGGTTCATGTAAGATGGGACAAATGTGAGAAACTTTTTACTCCAAATACGACCAAGTGAATGGCTTTCTTTTCCCCTTTTACTTGGCCGTGGGCGGGCACCTGGGATTTTGCTCATTTCCTTTAAGAGAAGGGCACTGTGAAAATAGTGCCAGTAGACACCACTGGTTTTCAGCCACCCTGGCAATGCTTATCTTCCTCCATCTCCTTCTCACCTAGTAGTAATTTAATAAGCACAGTACAAAATTCAGAGGGCACCAATGGGTATAGTGTGAAAGGTTGAGTCTCCCATCCCAGTCCTCTCAGATCATAATCTGTCACCAATTCCTTGTGTATTTGTCCAGGGAGTATGTGTGTCAGGGTATGGCAAACTTTTTCTGAAAAGGGTCAGAGTTTAGGCTTTGTGGGTCATACTGTCTCTGTTGCAACTATTCAGTCCTGTGTTAGCATGAAAGTAGCCATGGACAAAATGTAAATGAATGGGCATGGTTATTTATTTGCAAAAGCAGATATATCTGTACACACACATAGCATTATCATACACACTATTATGTACTGGTTTTTTAAAATCTAATATACTCTAGGTATCATATCAGTAGATACCAAAAATACTACAATAAAAATTCATAGACTGTACAGTGACAGCACCTACTATAGGAACTGGTTCCATTAAGGTGCGTTTGTACAACCAGATGGCAGTTTGCCTGGATATACTAGTATTACCGATCACACTCTGACTTCGTAGGCACCGCATCACTGTTAAGTAGCATGAAACTGTGGGGTAGAGAAGTGTGATCTCATTTCTTCCCATCTGTGTGTGGCTTGGTCTTTTCACCTAATGTTCGAAATAACTTCTGTTATTTGTATTCTTTTCAGGGAATCCAGATATGTATTTGAAGTCTCGTGTTTCATTTTCTCTTGAATTCCTTTCAACTGTTTATTTCCATTGTTTTCTTTGCTTATTTTAATGTCCTTCATATCCCTTGTGTTTTTCAATAGTCTTTGTTTTTATATTTCTCCACTTCTTCTGTCAGTTTATTCTCTCATATCTTCCTTGATCTCTTACTTACAACTATTTCAATATTTTAAATTCACATTAATATGGTTGTTAAAACTTCATTTTTCTACAGCATTTTTCTGGTGAGTGGGTTTTGTCTGTTACTGTTATTACTGTTACCTTCCCACTTTTGTAGTGTGTCTCCGCTGATTCTTTACCCTACCACACTGGCAGGCTACTTCCTGTCCATATGGGTTGTCTGTTTGGGTTATTACCTCACTTATGCCCTTCTTCTCTGCCACACTGGGCCCAGGGAACACCTGCTAACAGTCAGCCTGCCTACTTTGGTGTTCCCAGTGAATGCATGTTTTGCCTATCAGTGGACCACTCACTATGGCCCCCACCCCACTCACTAGGGCTCTACCAGCTTGGACTGCACTCTCCAGCTATAGGCATTCCCTCTCCTAACATCCTTCTTTGACTCACTGCCTTTGGAAGTTCTCTTTCATATATAGTGACTGAGTTTTAAGATGGAATTTGCATTTATACTTTTAAGTTTCCTAATTGCTTCTTTAGTAACTTTTTAAAAGCAGAAGGGATACAACTAAAATAGGAGTAGGCATATCAATTATGTATTTTCACAATCATGCTGCAAAACCTCAGTTAACAAGTAACCATATTTATTTAATATTTAGTTCACAAGTCTGTGGGGGCTCAGCTGATTCAGGCTAGGCTTGATTGATCTTGGCTGGCCATACTTATGTATCTAAGATTTGACTGGTGGTGGCAAAAATCCCACTGTTGCTCTTATGGCTGAGTCCAGAATCAGAATAGGAAGACACCACAGTTATATAACTGGGCACACAAGGGTAGGGTAGCCACTTGGGGACATCAATGCAGTTATTTTATCACAGTAAGGAAGAATGAGGAAATACTGTTTCGAACATTTTGAGTCTCAGATACCAGTGGGACTTCCAAGTTTGATAAACACATCTAGAGCAGAAATTCCCAAAGTTTTTGTCTTAAGACCCCTATACAGATTTATAAAGTATTGATGATCTCAAAGAACTTTTGTTTATATAGGTTATATCTAATGATATTTACCTTATGAATTAATATAAATAATTTTTTATTTATTTAAAATAATAGACCCCATTATGTTAACATATATTTTAAAAAGTTATTGAGAAGACTGGCATTGTGTATTTTTTTGCAAACCTCTTTAACATTTGGCTTAATAGAAGATAAGTGGACTCATATCTAATTCTGAATCCTATCTGCTGCCAGATCACCTGTCATGTGTTCTCTGGAAAAAATGCCACTGTATGCTCATAAGAAAATGAGTGAAAAGGCAAAGATCATACTATTATGACAAAAATATGTTTTACCTCTAGACCCTGAAAGGCACATAATTTGAGAACCACACTTTAGTAATATAGGGGTTCAGTGAAATATTGAGGTCCACTGAAAAGTGGAGTTCTTGAAGGAACAGCTAATGAAAGAACAAAAAATAGTAGCAACCGACTTCACCATATTTATCAACTCGTTTTAACAGAAGTAACCATAATTTTCTTATTTAGAAAAATTACCAAACTCCTTGCTATTCTTTATACTTTGCAAACTCTTCAATTAAGCCTTGAATGAGTTCAAAATAGGAAAAAAGCTCATATTTAAAATGAAAATTAGAGTTTAACAAATGTTACTGACCAATGTCATCACTTAAAACATTTCACAAGAGACTTTTTATTGGTTTTTCAAAAAGCAGTTAATATTTTAAGGTACAGCTTATAAACAAACCAATATCTTGTTTTTCTTCTTTTTGGTCAACATGGAAATGTTCAATTTCTTTCAAACCAGTTTCTGGACTCAGGGATTTTTAGAGTCAAATCTAGCTCCTGACATAGACCTTCTATCCTAACTGTAATACAGTTTGCACTTTAGCCTGCACCTATGTTAACAATCATCCAACTACCACAGAATAGTAAAAGAAATCATTTCTTCAATCTATATTTCTAATTTAGCTGAAAATTCTACTCATTAACAGAAGACCTCTGATCTCTCCTTCCCTTTTCCCATTCCTTTTATAACTTGCTATTCCATTTACTGCCAGTTTGCTATCCTCCATTATGAATCATTCTTATAATCTTTAAATATACAATTTCCATTCATTTTATGCCTTCTTAAAATGTCTCTAATCTTTATTAAACATGTAGAACTACATACATATAAACTAGTATTTTTCAAAAGTCCAAATTTCAACAAATGCATTAATTAGGGTAGGTTTGAATTTTTTTAATTGAGAATAATCATTTATTCAAAGAATTTTGCCTTGTGGCTCAGTTGGTTGGAGCATTGTCCTGTACACCAGAAGGTGGTGGGGTTGGATTCCCAGTCAGGCACATACCCAGGTTGTGGGTTCAATCCCCAGTGAGGAAGCGTGCAGTTGGAAACCGATTGATGTTTCTCCCTCTCTCTCTGAGATCAATTAAAAAAGAATTTTTTTTTTAAATCTACAAGTATGCTTGAATTTGGTTCACCAATAAGGATTTATGCATATCCAACTTTTTAATTAAGGCATTAAATCAATGATTATCTTTCCCAGTAGACATATAAACAAAACATAAATAGATGGTGTCATTTTTTAAAGTGTGTTTAACAATGGAAAACAGAAGTTCAATAAGAAAAAGCAAGCTAAAAGCACAAAGGTCAATTTTGAGTGAGACCCATCTAGTGCTATTCATTCTATAAAATAATGTCAAAAAAGGAAATGGAAGATGAATCACAGTAATTATTAACTGAGTTCAACTTAACTGCTTATATATTGATTACATTCTATTGCAGGTACCTGTACAACTGCAAAGATGTTGTATTACGAAGAAGCACAGCTGGAAGTCTGGGCTTCTGCATTGTAGGAGGTTATGAAGAATACAATGGGAACAAACCTTTTTTTATCAAATCCATTGTTGAAGGAACACCAGCATATAATGATGGAAGAATTAGGTAACAATAACAACTATTTTAACAAAAAATTTATATTCAAATATTTTGTTTTATGCATTTTTATGTATAAAAAAGCATGGCCCTTCTTGAAAAAAAAGCATGTATTTATTATACCTTTCATATAGGTGAGAAATTAAACACATTTATGTAGCATGCAATTTCTAAGAAATCCAAAATGATTAGTTACTTGGTCCCATATAGCAACTTGCTTATGAATCCCTTCTAACGCAAGCTGATTTTAGAGTTAATTAAAATTGACAGATATAGCAAAAATTAGGACCTCCAATTAAACTTGAATTAACTTCAGCTATGGATCAAAATATTAATCATATACCTTGTTTTATTTTTTTAGATGTGGTGACATTCTTCTTGCTGTCAATGGTAGAAGTACATCAGGAATGATACATGCTTGCTTGGCAAGGATGCTAAAAGAACTTAAAGGGAAAATCACTCTCACTATTGTTTCTTGGCCTGGCACTTTTTTATAGAATTGATGGGTCACAGAAAATCGCAAAGTTGAAACAAATATATTTATCTTGTCAATTTTTGTATTTAAAGGATACATTATAAAAATGTGAACTTTAATATCAGCAAAATTATGATCTAATGAAAGCCAATTACACCTCAGAAAATATAATTCTCAAAACAAACATTACTAATAGTTTTTATTCAGTGTGGAGGATTTTGCATCACTCTACGTTTACGTTTATATTTTTCTATTTAATAAAAAGCTCTTAAACAGTTGAAATGGTTTGTATGCCCTCAAATGAATTCGAACCATAAAATTAAATTAAAAATTTGAGTATTTTAAAAATAACTTACAGCCAAATGATTTTAAAAGTGCATTACTGAAAAATGTTCCTTTCATCAAATGAGAAATAAATATTTTTTAAAATATTATAGTTGTCTTTAAGTATGTGATACTAAATTCATTTCTATTATGACTATTTACTCACAGAATTATAAACTTTTTTTCTTAGATTTAATAGGAAATAACTAAAGCTCTTGTCACTTATTTTTTTATTCACAATCTAAAAAAATCTGCATGCTGTTCAACCAATGAGCCTTGGGAAAATCAAGAAAAGCCAAACCAGCCTCAGATAGATGGCCATTAGGGAATTCAAAATTGTGATGAGTGTCCAGTGCCTGCTAGAAACTACAATTACGTTATTTCAGAGGCCTCCCAAATACCATTAGATTCACTCTTTTACATATAAAAGTTCCCCATTCAATTTCACATGAACCCAATTTAGAACACTGAAAATCTGCTATCAAAAAGTTGTGGTATCAAAACTGTATGAGTTCTTTAATATGCTAAGCAACGGTGCCACAGCAGTATTGATAAAAGACTACTCTCAAGACTCAGGGGTGCCCTTTGATGCCTTTTGCAGAGAAACATCTTGAGAGACTAATATTTGATTAACTCAAGGAAATGTTAGCCAAGGTGGAACCCTGACCTTTATCAGATACTGGTATGTACACAGCTAAACACAGTTCTTTAAATTCCCTGATGAGTGACTCATTTACATACTTTCTTGGATATAAAATCACTGCAATCTTATTTTTTAAATATTACAAAACAAAGATTTTTAACTTAACATGAAAAATTCGCTTTTATTTTGGGAAAAAGCTTTTATACTAACAGAAGATTAAAGGTAAATTTCTTAAACATTATCCAGAAAAATAAACAAGATTTGTGGTATCTATTTCTGGGACTAATATACACAAAAGGTTATACCAGGCCTATTCTGCAGGTGCAGCCTCGGTGCTCTCCTGTTCAGGGGCAGGCTCACTGCCAGCTTCTTTTCCTTCTTTGCTTCTTTTTGATTTTTTGTGCTTGTGTCTCCTGTGACTGTCTCCTTCTTCACTTTCATGGCGACGTCTACTATTACTAAAAAAAAAAAGGTGTGTTCTTAAAAATGTTTAAGTATACAAGTGATGACAAAAATCAATCCACTTTGCCTAAATTCTGGGTGTTAAAAGATTTAATCCATTAGCCAGTTTTGGGGTGTTTTTTTTTGGCGACTTTTATGCTGAGATTATATTTATACTAGAGGCCCGGTGCACAAAATTTGTGCAGGGGGGGGGGGGCGCCCTCAGCCTGGCCTACGCCCTCTTGCAATCCAGGAGCCCTCAGGGGAGCAGGCCTAAGCTGTCAGTCGGACATCCTTAATGTTGCCACAAAGGCGGGAGAGGTTCCCGCCACCACCTCTGCGCTCACCAGCTGTGAGCCCAGCTCAGGGCTCTGGCTGAGCAGCGCTTCCCCTGTGGGAGCAAACTGACCACCAGGTGGAAGCTCCTGAGTTGAGCATCTGCCCCCCTGGTGATCAGTGCGCATCACAGTGGTCATTCTGGCGTTCGGTCGATTTGCATATTAGCCTTTTATTATATAGGATTACAGGCTCATCTTCACCAATATCATCCCAGATTTCTAGGACCCATATACTTTATTCTGAAAACCAAATTATAAATGAGAAACTGAAGCACTAAAACAGAAATACTTTCTATGGTTGGTTTTAGGTAAATAATAGGCATTGAAATTTAACATCTATGTGTGCGTGCTATTGTTGTTTTTGAGACTACAAGGCCCTGAATTTTCTTTGATTAAACTGCTTTAATACTATTTACTATTAAAGACTGGTTCATATGCCAAATTCCCCCCTCCTAACAAGATAATGTAATAAGCTGAATTCTCTCATATTCCATGATAATTTTGGTTTACTTGTATTAAATACAGTCTTGTCAGATTTAAAAATCTTTGTTGAAGCATAAAAGGAACCAACTATTTCAACAGATTATTCTTAATCTTCCAATTAGGAATACATATGCTCTACTGGTTATTGGGAAATATTTGCTCCTACTTTCTGAAGTCAAATCAATTTCTCAACTTCAAAGTGATTCACTATTTTATTAAAGAACAGACCTTCGAGATGACTTGTGTCTGGTTTCCTCTTTCTCTCTGTGTCGTCTTTCTCTATGTCGTTCTTCTTTCTCTCGACTTGCTCTATGACGCTCGTAGCCTCTTTCTGCATACTCCCTATATCTGTATCGTTCTTCATCACTGAAATTGGAATAGAAACAACTTTTATTAACTGGACTGTTCATACAATTCTAAACTCTAAAAGAAGAGATGTGACCTGAGTGCTAAACAGAAGCCCCCACTTTAGCATCTTACAGAGAATAGATGCAAAATTGAACTGAGAGGGAAATAATGCCATTCCCAAATAAGTACTACATCTAATACAAGAACACAAAATATAAAATTACACATCATGTTAAGGAACCAGTTTTGTTCTGTGCTTTCATAATTGTTATAAGGTAGAAATTTTATAAAACAATGCTGTTTTTCTTCAAAAAATTGGGAGCTGTAACTCATTTACATTTTAATCAATTTTCTTTTCCTCCTCTTAGAATTAAAAGCATGTTTGTCTATTTCAGATCTCAAACCAAAATTCTTTTTTTTTTAAATGTATTTTATTGATTTTTTACAGAGAGGAAGGGAGAGAGATAGAGAGCCAGAAACATCGATGAGAGAGAAACATCGATCAGATGCCTCCTGCACATCCCCCACTGGGGATGTGTCCGCAACCCAGGCACATGCCCTTGACCGAAACTGAACCTAGGACCCCTCAGTCTGCAGGCTGACGCTCTATCCACTGAGCCAAACAAAAATTCTTATATTACTTATAAAATCTTGGGCACACAGGATTCTAAAAATGTATTTTAAATATTTGGCTCACAATGACTACAGAGTAGAAAGTAGATAAAGGTTCTTCACATAAAGAGTATATTCATCTAATAAAGCGGTATACAAATGAACAGCCCTAGCCAGTGGCTCAGCTGGCTGGAGACTCGTCCCATACAGGCTGAAAGGTCACAGGTTCGATTCCCGGTCAGGGCACATTCCCAGGCTGTGGGTTTGATCCTGTCAGGGTGCATACGGGAAGCAACTGCTACAATATCCACACAAAATGCACGCAAAAAGCTGCTTGTAAACTTACTTGCATTCTGACATCCCAATTACTTAATACTATGTATGTGTGTGGTGAGAAGAAGAGATTCAACATGGTTAACAACTTCAAATGCAAAAACTTAAAGCTGCACCTCCATTTTCTGACTCTTGATAGAATGAACTGGTAAAACTGCGAGTGATGGCTAGTCTTTCTTTACCTCCCTAGCCCAGTCTTCTTTTCATGTCCTTTCACTTACATCCTTCTCTCCTTCTTTCTCCTAATCCTTTAAGTCTTTTTTTCTTGATTTTTGTTCAGCATAGAAGTCAATACTTTCCACAACCTAATATCAGTAAACTCACTTAGAAGGAATAAAAATGTCTTCTAGAGCTCTGTGTGCTGAAGAGCCTTGGTTTCTAGAAATATATACAAATTATATAAATTAATGTTTAAAGCATCAAGGAGTTGAGTGATCTGAGTAGGAGCAATAGGAGACAGAATAAGGTGAACATATAAGCCATATAAAAGAACAAATCAGTCTGTGGTTTCTTAGCAAAAGTAATGAGTCTGTAGTGCTGTGCCTAATGCAAGAGATATTGCTGACCAAGTTGTTATTACTTCCATACATTACATTTTTAAACCATTTTTTTTATCATTATTGTTGAAAGTATTACATATGTTCTCCTTTCCCCCCATTAATCCTCTCCAGGCTGCCCCCGCCCCAAACAAGAAAATATTAATATACATATAAATATATTTGTGTGTACATACATATGTATACTGTACATACACACTTTTTCCCTAACCATAAATATGCACTTTGTATTTGGAAAGTGGAAGCATGTCACCTAAAAGGCAATGTGCCATGATAGACAGTGTAGAGTAGTGGGAGGAGTACAGGCAGAGTAGGCCCAGGATCACATCTTGATTCTACTACTTACTAAATGTGTGACCTAGGGTAAGTTAACCAACCTCGCTAGGCATCCATCTGTTTTCTCACCTGTAAAATTGGCAACAATCTCTTTCAGGGTTGTTGTAGAACTGGCAATAGCATTTGTAAGTGCTTGGTACAAGAGAAGGCCCTCAATAAATGGCAGCTGATATACAGGCTCACCATCTTCAGTAAATTTAATGTTAAATTTTTCAGAAGTAGAACCTTTTTTGTAAAGGTGACTGATCCTGTAATAATTAATTTTTCTGAAGCAGAATAATTAGCTCACACCAGGACAAATGAATATGGTAGTAAATATTATCCTCTTTAAAAATGAGGCTGTCTTTGTAATGATTCCAACTGAATTTACATTAAAACAGTCAATTATCTCATAATTTGTCATCTGTAACCTTCTCACCCTGGCACCAATTCTTCACAGCTTTGAGGCCTTTTAAGATACTGAAGGCAGCCATATGATGGGAAACTTTCCACAGATGATAAAAGATTTGGTCTCATACATGAAATATAAAGATCCCTCCTTCTAGCCCTTTCTTTGATAAGCAGCTGCTGCACAAGTTTCTCTGGGTCTGGAAATCATTAGAGTTCATTCAAATACCCTTGAACGAACAGACTTCATTCTAGCCCACAATTAAGTGGCCTCAAGACCAGATGTTGAAACTGGTCTGTAATTTTCAAAACAATGACCCTGTAATTTGTGACACAACACATACTACATGCCATATCGCTAAAATGTCAGTCTTAAAAAAAAAAAAAAAAAAAAAAAAAAGGTCTTTACTTATACTTCACTTGAATTTTCCAGAGAACACTTTAGTCCTGGGATAATTCAAAACAACACAAAATTCCTCCACCTCTTGCCTTGAACTTTTAGTCAGATTTAGGTAAACACTGACTTCTGATGCTCTACAGCATAGCAACCTGAAAATTAAATGTGGTTTAACCATTAACACTTTAGTTTCAATAAAAATTAAGTAACACCTGTGTTTAAAATTTAATCAGTTAACTTAGCCTCAAATATTCTATAAACTGTATTATTTATGTTTACGTAAAGAAAATTTATGAGCTCTAGGAAAGCCATCAAAGCCATTTCTTTTAGTCTTCTTTCCTATCAAGTTTTGCATTAAGCTCCTTAACTTGTGAGTATGGACATTCTAGAGATAACAGTGCTATCTCAAGTATTTTAACTACATTAGAAACTATTCAACTTTCTGGAAAGTAATGCTCTTGAACTTAACAGAATCATGCTGACCTACATGGCTCAAGTTAACAGTACATGTCCCACCACAGAAACACAAAACATACACTCACACACACACACAAATATGTATCATACCTTTACTTATTTAAAATTTTATCAGGTGCCTACAAAGCGTAAGTCATATTATTAGGAACTACTGAAAGGAAAAAGATTAATAAATCCTGTCCAGTTTCTTATTGTACACTGCTTTAGGTAAAGTTTCAAACAACTAACCAGTCCTTGTCACCTTGACAATATTTCATGGTTAAATCAAAAAGGGCAGTGTATGAATAATTCTGTATCCTCAGCACAAAGCTCTGTGCCTGGTACAGAAGAGGGACTCAGAAAATGTCAATTACATAAATGAAAGAATGAATCGCTACTCTCCCTTCTGCCCTCGCCCCCTAAAAATGGGGAGAAAATCAAGTGCATAGGGAGTAATAAGGAAAATGAGAAAAATTTTAAACTACCTAATTTCAAGACTAGAGAGGATTTTAAGTAAAATCTCGATCACATTTTGAGATTATGGCTCTACCATTGTCTTATGTTTCTTTATGCTTCCATTTCCTCACCTGATAAGTAGAAATTTAGACTAGATAATCCCCAAGGACCTTTTGGATTAGGAAGTATATAAATAGATGACCACAACTAACAAAACAAATGCTGCTTGAATCAAGCATATCCTCACACCCTGAACTGATATACTGCTTCATCTCATCCAGCAAAATCAGAAAATTGTCTATGTATCTTACATTTATCTTATCCCTAAAAATAGTTGATATAAAAAAGTTATCTTCATTCTACATTGTGATGGTACCTAGACTGATATGTTATAAGATGCCCAAATTAATGATTTGATTGTGATAAAGAGCTTCTACCTAAGAGTTTCACCAACAGTTTTTCAAAATTATTCTTTCTCTATTGTAGTCACCTTCCTCTCCTTAAATATGTCATTTTATTCACTGACATATTGTGTGCCAGACATTACTGTACAAAGTACTGAGGATACAGAAAGGAAAAATGGTGGTCAATGCCCTTAAAGAGACTTACTAAGAAACAAAGTGGCTCTACCCGGTTTGGTTCAGTGGATAGAGCATCGGGCTGTGGACCAAAGGGTCCCGGGTTCGATTCCGGTCAAGGGCACGTACGTCAGTTGCAGGCTCCTCCCCGGACTGGGCTTTGGGACAGGGCTTGTGCAGGGGGCAACCAATCTATGTGTTTCTCTCTCATCGATGTTTCTCTTTGTCTTTCCCTCCCTCTTCCACTCTCCCTAAAAATCAATGGGAAAATATCCTCGGGTGAGGAATTAAAAAAAAGAAACAAAGTGTTTAGGAAACATGTGAACAAAATTAATTCCTTCAGGTTCAGAGAAGCTCATAGAGGACCTTGAAGAGTTAATAGAAGTTTGTAAGGCAGAGAGGTAAGGAACAACATGAACAAAGTATAAAACTTTGAGGGATTCCCAGAACAGCAATCAGTCATGCGGTGCACTGGCTTGGGAGAGAACTGGGGCTAAAGTCTAGAAAAGTACATGACTGTGACTGAGGATTATAAGAATTAGGAATTTATTCTTTCGGTCAGCAGTACATGCCAGCCCCACAGCAGTATATGAATTCTTTCCAATAGCACAGACATTTTAGGGAGTCAATTTCCAGATCCTCAACATCCGTATTTACTCTTTCCTAAATCTGAACTGCCTAATGTAAAACATCATGCCACTTCTCCAGCTAACCTCTTCTCTCAAAATCACCCTCCTGCCCTTTACAAAAGAAAGGCACTCCTTTCACCAATTTTACTATGGTACATTGGCTCAGGGTATAAAAATCATCATGGCATCAAGCAGATCTAATTTATAATATTAGTGCCAGTGAGAATTATTTTATTCAAGGAGCCATAAAGCATCTATAGGAGTTTAGGTTTTCCTATCTTATACACTGTTCATTTAAGAACAAAGTATGGAGTAAGAAATGGGAGTTCTAACTTCATATATATCATAGTGTGGTGGGAGTCATAAGAATTTTCCCTGAACCAGTAAAAACTTTAAAAAAAAAAAAACCCTTTTAAGAAAAGCAAAGTGTTGAAAGGCAGCATCTTATTGTAAGCTGTGTGGCTAATGTGTTAATTAGACTTGGATATGGAATACAGATCAACTCATTTGACTGAATAGCAAATGAAGCCAGACTTTTTACAATTAGAACTGAATGTGATTTGGCTGTCTGACTTGACAATGAGAGCTATCTTTTACCAATTAAGTTATATGGTAGCTATTTTCCATAAATGGAATATAGGAAATTTGCTAGAAATAAATATTTAACACACATAAAGGTGTTTAATTTTTTTAAAGATTGTTTTGGCCAAGATGTAATAATAGCATTTTAATTTCCCCAAACCTCTGAGCATATTAAGATAAATAATTGGTAGTCTTTTGACAAGTCTTGGTAAAACCCTTTTGGTATTCTTCCAAGAAAATGAGAAAACTGAAACTTTAATTTCTAAATGAATTGGATTGAATTGTGTTGCCCCCTTCCCCCAAAAAATCTGCTCAACTATGTATTTAAAATTTTTAAATGAAAAAACATTTTAGATGGCAAGATATGTGACGGGATACAAAGTTTCCAAAATTCTTTTAAGAGAGAAATAAACAAATTTGAAGACTATTGTTTTAGGTAATGAGAATCCCTAAGAATTAAATAGCCTTGATGCTTTTAAAATGGTTATCCTAAACACTCTTCGAGCAATGCTATCCCAACTAAATCGAATTTTCCATCCTATAATCGAATACAAATTCTAAAGTACACATTAAACATATATATACAAACTACAGCACACTCAACAAACCTGTTGAAAACACTTGGTGTAGGACTATGATCACGCTCTCGCTCCCTCTCTCTGGTGCGCTCTCTTTCTCTGTCTCGATCACGATCTCGGTCTCGGTCTCTGTCTCGGTCTCTGTCTCGATCTCGGTCTTTCTCTCTTCTTGAATAATAGTCCCATTGCTTGCTGGTGTCCACAAGACTAGGCCATGAAGGAGCAGAACCAGGAAGGTGGGGAAAGGCAACTAAAGAAAAAACATACACAAAACAAAACATAAGTTTTGGTACTTAAAAACAAGAGAAAAAACAAAAAGTACTAGAAAATAAAGACAAAATTCCCACCAAAAGTGCTTCATTAGATTATAATGCAAAGTTAATTTATAACTAGAAAAGATAAATGTCATAGTGTGAATACCCACAGATTGGGGGAATATGAAGAAACAAACCTTAAAGACTTAACATAATCATTTTGCAAGGTGTGAACAGTAACCAGAAATAGATACACCACAAAATTCCCCTTATCAAAAATGTAAACCAGAATAAATTAGGACATCTTCAAAGTATTGAGAGAAAATGATAGTCAACCTAGGAACATGTATTCAACAAATTATATTTTAAAAATAAGAAAAAAGCAAAGACATCCATAGATAAACAAAAAGAACAAATGTTATAATCAACAGAGTTCACCGAAAGATAGATGTACAATGCATTTTAAGAGTAACACAAACACAAACACACACACACACACACACACACACACACACACACACACACGAATGTATAATTTCAAAACAATATAGGGAAAAACAGAATTTTTTAAAAACTGCCAATTCAAAAAAGACTTGGATAATATAGGGGTTGGGTAGACAAGTTTATTAGCTCAACAATTAGCACAATATAAAAGGGACTGAATTCATCAGTTACATAACAGAGATTTTTGATTTGTACTTTGAATAATTCCTATTATATTCTGAATATAAGACATAAAAACACAAAATGGTTAATAGCAAAGGATGCAAGAAAAAAATATTAATACCCCTCAATCTACTTATGAGTAGCTATACTAATGACAAAGCAGAAGCATATAGTAAGGACTAGAGGCCTGGTGCACAACATTCATGCACTTGGGGAGGGGGTCCCTCAACCCAACCTGCACCCTCTCCCAGTCCAGGAGCCGTCAGTCGGACATCCTTGGAGCTGCTGCAGAGGTGGAAGAGGCTCCTGCCACCGCCACTGCACTCACCAGCTCAGGGCTTCTGTGAAAGCGCACTGACCACCAGGGGGCAGCTCCTGTGTTGAGCGTCTGCCCCCTGGTGGTCAGTGCATGTCATTGCGACTGGTCGTTCCATCGTTCAGTTAATTTGCATATTATCCTTTTATTATATAGGACTAGTGGCCCGGTACACAAAATTCGTTCACGGGGTTGGGGGGGGGGGTTGTCCCAGCCTGCACCCTCTCCAATCTGGGATCCCTCTAGGGATGTCCTGTGGGATCGGGCCCAAACCGGCAGTCGAATATCCCCCTCACAATCCGGGACTGCTGGATCCTAACTGCTAACCTGTCTGCCTGCCTGATCACCCCTAACCACTCTACCTGCAGGCCTGCTCGCCCCCAACTGCCCCCCACCCCGCTGGCCTAATCACCAACTGCCCTCCTCTCCTGGCCTGATTGCCCCTAACCACCTCTGCCTTGGCTCCGCCACCATGGCTTTGTCCGGAAGGATGTCCAGAAGGTCTCCTGGTCTAATTAGCATATTACCCTTTTATTAGTATAGATTACCTGGGAAAGAAAGGATAACAACATGAAGATGAAAATGTAACTCACCAAGAAGACAGAACAAATATAACTTCCAGATATCTAACAACATAGCCTTAATATTTGGAGAGTAAGAGATAATAGAAATTCAAGTAGAAATAGAAAAATCCAAAATGATTATGGGAGAATACCATACTTCTCTCAATTATTGATACTTTAAGCAAAAACTGCTATAGATATGTAAGATTTGAGCAAAACATTGTTAACAAGGTTGATAATAAACAACAGAATACTCATTCTTCTCAAGCACATATGAAACATTAATAAAAATATACTATGTACTTTCAGAGGATCAGTAAAATAAACAAGTTTTCTGACCACCATGCAATTTAAATTAGTAAAACAAAATTTACGGGAAATTAATCTCCATACATTTCAAATTAAAAACACATTTCTGATAACTAAGGTGGTAAACATTTAGGAATTGACTTCAGAAATAGATTCCTCTCTCTAAAATCAATTTTAAAAAATGACAACAGCCGTAACCGGTTTGGCTCAGTGGATAGAGCATCGGCCTGCGGACTAAAGGGTCCCAGGTTCGATTCCGGTCAAGGACATGTACCTTGGTTGCAGGCACATCCCCAGTAGGAGATGTGCAGGAGGCAGCTGAATTGATGTTTCTCTCTCATCGATGTTTTTAACTCTCTATCTCTCTCTCTTCCTCTCTGTAAAAAATCAATAAAATATATATATATTTTAAAATGACAACAGCCAACAACAGCCAATACAACAGTAGCTGCCAGGTGTGAGTGAATCAAAAATTTTTTAAAATTAAAAATAGCTCAGCTGGCATGGCTCAGTGATTGAGCATCAACCTATGAACTAGGAGGTCAAGGTTCAATTCCCGATCGGGCACATGCACGGACTGCGGGCTCGGTCCCCAGAGTGGGGAGTGCAGGAGGCAGCCGATCAATGATTCTCTGTCATCATTGATGCTTCTATCTCTCTCTCCCTCACCCTTCCCAAAATCAATAAAAATGTTTGGGTTTTTTGTTTGTTTTGTTTTGTTTTTAAAAGAGATGCAAACTGTCCTGGAGGGAAATTTAATCTTTAAGAAACTACATTAGAAAAGATGGTGCATAACCCATGGTCACAGACAACAGTGTGCTAAAGGTAGGCAGGGAACAGGTTGGGCAAAAAAAGGGGAAAATGAGAGACATTTGTATATAGTACTGTCAATAATAAAAGTAAACAAACAAAAAAAGAAAATATGAAAAATTAATATAAGAACTTAGAAAAGCACAGAATAATCTAACAGAAGGGAGATACTAAAGATAAAAGTAGAAATCAAATAAACAGAAAACTACCACACAATTAAAAAAGCAGAAAGTTGGTTTTTGAAGACTAGACAAATAAAAAACGACAATCTCTGACAAGATTACAAAAAAGATGCCACATAAACAATATTAGAACCAAAAAGGGACCACAACTACAGATCTTGCAGAGATTAAACAATACATAAACTATTATACACTTGATACCGACACATTTATAAACTTAGCTCAGTCTACTTCTTAAAAAGAAATTACCAAAGAAAAGTGACTCAAGAATAAAAAAAAATCTTAATCATCCTATAACTATTAAAGATATTAAATCAGTAATTTAAAACCTTCCCACAAAACCTGATTGTTTTACAGCTGAGTTTTTATGAGCTTACTAGAGGCCCGGTGCACGAAAATTTGTGCACTCGGGGAAGGGGGGAGAGGGTCCCTCAGCCGGTCTGCACCCTCTCACAATCTGGGACCTCTCAGGTAGGGTCCCTAGGCCTGGCCTGAGATCAGGGCCTATTGGGGCTTTCCTTCCCCCAGCTGCAGGCAGCTGGCCCCATCCCCACCGCTAACACTGCTTGGCATCTGTGCAGCACTGCCCTCACCTCCCCTGCCACTGGTGGTCTCCCTCTGCAGGTGACAGGCGTGGGGTGCGATGGCTTGGCTGGCCTGGGCATCCCTCTGCGGGGCGATCGCTGGCCGGCCGCACACCTGCCACAGAGTCGCACACCTGCCACAGAGTCGCTACTAGTGGCCTGGGCCTCCCTCTTTCTTTGCTGGGGGGCGGGACCAGCCCTGCAAGGGGCCATCTGCCTACCTGATTGCCCCTAACCGCTGGCCAGCCTGCCTACCTGATCGCCCCTGCCTACCTGATCACCCCTAACCGCTGGTCTGCTTGCCTGATCACCCCTAAACAGTCTGCCTGCCTGCCTGATCACCCCTAACTGCTTGCTGGGGGGCGGGGCCAGGCCGGCAAGGGGCCATCTTCCTACCTGATTCCCCCTAACCGCTGGCCTGCCTGCCTACCTGATCACCTCTAACCACTTGCCTGCCTACCTGATCACCCCTAACCGCTGGTCTGCTTGCCTGATCACCCCTAACCACTCTGCCTGCCTGCCTGATGCTTGGGGGCGTGGCCAGCCTTGCAAGGGGCCTTGGTGGTTCTAGTCTTTGGGCATTCTGGTCGTTATGCTTATGGTGGCTGGCCTTTTATTATATAGGATACAGTATAGACCAGGGGTGGGCAAACTTTTTGACTTGAGGGCCACAATGGGTTCTTAAACTGGACCAGAGGGCCGGAACAAAAGCATGGATGGAGTGTTTGTGTGAACTAATATAAATTCAAAATAAACATCATTACATAAAAGGGTACAGTCTTTTTTTTTTTTAGTTTTATTCATTTCAAACGGGCCGGAAGAGACTTGACAAATTATAGTGAGAGTTCAACAGGTAAATGGCTACATGATCAATATATGTATCTTTTTTATTTATGTATATATCTGTATTTACATAGAAATATACATAAATAAAACAAAAACCAATTCTATTTCTAAATATAGGCAAACAGAACACGCAGTTCAAATGAATATATCATTTTCAACAACAAAAGCTTAGGTGCCTATCACTAAATCTAATTGAAGAAATGCAAGTGTATAGAGATAATTATATAACTGAAACACATTAAAAAACATCTCTTTAAATGAAGAGTGAGGCCTTGTTCATAGGTGAAATCATGATGTAAGGCATGAATTCCACACAAACTGATCTAGAGCATCAACTGAACTCCAATACTATGGTATAAGAGCAAGGACTCCAGGGCCAGGCTGCATGGTTTCAAATTGTGACTCTGCCACTTACTGTGTAAAGTGGGAAAATTACTTAATCTGGCTGTTCTTCAACTTCCACCTTCATAAAGTGAAAATAATAACAGTATGCCTACTTTGTAAGGCTGTTAGGATTACATTAGTTAACAATGTCTGTCATATAATAAGCATAATATATTGCCAGTTATTAATCAAAATTTCAACAGCTTTTCATGAAACTTGTAAAACTGATTCTAAAATGAATATGCAAGAGCAATGGCACAAGAATACTTCTGAAGCTGAATAAGCTACATTCTGCTAAATGAGATAGCAGAGCTACTATAAAATTTATATGTAAGA